GTATTAACAAATTACAAAAAAAAAAAATTGACACTGAGTGGCACCAATAAGTATAGACTGACGGGTCCCATCTTCGGACATAACCTAGGTGAGGTAAATATATATATATATCGTTGTGCAAAGTTTAAATTAAGTTGAGTATTCCGTTCGCTTCTTGTGAGATTTACAAGTTTTTAAAATGTTGACCCTTCGGACATTATACAGTCATGGTTTAAGTATTGGGTTGCGCAAAGTCCGTTCGAGTGATTTTATAAAATTAATTTTCAGCCACATTTTGAACTTTGGTGGGGGAGGTACCAGAAGAAGTGGACTGACAAGTCTCATCTTCATAATGTAGGTAAGGTAAATATGTTACGATGTGAACATTTTCGATGACGTTGAATATTCTGTTCGCTTCATATCTTTCAACATAATATTTTTATCAAGGACCACCACAGAAGGGGGGATTTTTTAAACAAAATATTTTTTCATGGACTTTTAAGACGTAGATTTTTTAAAGAATATTTTTTCAAAGACCAACAGAAACAACCTATTTTTTCAAGGACTTTCAAGGCGTGGATTTGTTAAAGAATAATTTTTTAAAGGCTTGATTTTTTACCTATTTTTTTAAAGGTGTGAATTTATTAAAGAATTTTTTTAAAGGCGTGAATATGTTAAAGAATATTTTTTAAAGGTGTGAATTTGTCAACGAATATTTTTTTAAAGTCGTGAATCTCTTCAAGTACTTTTAAGGCATGATTCTTTAAAGAATTTTTTAAAGCACTTTTAAGTCGTGGATTTTTGTTAAATGAAAATTTTCAAGGACTTCAAAGGCGTGAATTTCTTCAAGGACTTTTAAGGGATGACTTTCTAAAGAATATTTGTTTCAAGGACTATTATATCGAGGATCTATTTATATAATATTTTCCCAAAAACGTTTAGGGCATGCATTTTTTAAACAGTCGCCAAATTCTTGACAGAGAACATATCAAGGCGCCGATTAGTGCTATAACAATAAATATATACTCTGACACTGTTTGGCGCTAGGTTCTGAAACTAATTGTTCTGGAAAAAATCATATTTATAAGTTTTAAATACAAAATGTTTGATAATTTTATTTAAATTACTAATAATTTTCACCCTCATTGATGAGGATCTGTGGCGAGATCCGAATCTGCCTTACCCCTCGGCGGGGCGGACAATGTCATAAATTCCGCACTATTAAATATTTGTTTTTTTTTATAAAAACAACAACTATTTTGCAAAAACAAAATACAATTGGTAACCCGCCAACACTACTTATTATTGTTTATTTATTTTGGTGTGTCCACTTTCCAACAATATACCCCATTTTCACACCCTTAGATCATCCTAACCATCCTTACAAAATAACATCTGAACACATTACAAATAATGTGGAATAATTTAATTTTTTTTAATGTCCTATTAATTTAGTTGCAGTGGTTTCCAAACCAGCAGCATAATAATATTCTAGTATCTTAACCACAAAATGGACACAAAAACCTCAAGATTGCATTCACATTAAAAACGAATAACGAATTCGGTTAATATTAAATGTGTAAATACAAAAGATAATACGCTCAAAGAAAAATGTTTGTAATTTTAAAAATTTCATTACAAGTGTGTGTAAACAGTTTCAAGCTTTCCTAAAAAATGTTCCACCTTATTTTGAAAGTAGATGGTGCACTTATGTGACGACCATAGGGCAAACTTCATTATATGATGACCGCTGTACAGAGATGGCCTGTCAGAAACAGTGACGTAAATGACATACATTTCCGACGTATAAAACATACGTCAGAAACGTCGGAAACCTACCCAAATCCATTAGGTTTTTGACAAAATGGCCATTTCCATTAATCAATTCGGAAATTACGCATGCTTTACTCAAATTAATATAAAATTTAAAAATTTTATTCTCAAAAAAATTTAGACATTTTTTTCAGTTCTAGGAATGTATAGTCAGATATATATAAAAATAATATATTTTCTTGAAAATAATTGTATATGCTGATAATATTGAAATAAATGACGTTTACTACATTTATTACATTTCATACAGGTTATGACCTTTTCGACGTTTACACCTTTTTGACAGTCGAAAACCTAAAAATTCGTCACACAGACCATCCCTGCCGCTGTAGATCGTAGAAAAATGTGGCACAAGAATACAACTTATTCTTTCGTTCTCTAAAACTTTTTCGTAATTAGCAAAAATTTTCATTTAATTTTTTTCTTCGAGTGTAAACCGCAAATTTATTTGAATTGATTTGTTGTTGTTGCTTATCATTTCCAACATTTGCCATTCTCCCGCATTTCTTTTGCATTAAATATGAATGTGAGAGACAAAGCAAAACAAAACCAACTACTACTCATTCCATTGTCTGGAGAAAAAATGAGGCCCACATTCCCTAACGGGAGAGGGAGCGTCTCCTCTTCAATCGATGATATTGCTCCAAACACACAAAAAAATCTCACTCAACTCAACTGATAAGACTGAGAAGTTCGCCTGTGTCGAATATAAAAATAAATTTCTCTTCGCATTGTTTGACACTTGTCGCGGTTAAGTGAACATTATTAGTGTTGTTCGGTTGTGGTGGCGGTGGCGGCGGCAGCGACAGCATTTAATCGGCTCATAAAATTTTATTAATAACACAGAAATACCTCTTGAAGATTGTTAGCATTCTCCAGTTTGTTGGTGTGTTGTGTTGAGGCAGTTCGCGACTCTTTAAAGCGACCAAAGACTAAAGACAAATAGATATTAGAATTTTTTTAAACGCTATATATATAAAGCTAGCGTGAAAAATACTTGAAACGTGGTGTTGTGGAAGCTCATTCACATTACTTCTTTTCATCCCGAATTTGAATAAAAGGAATACCAGAAGAAGAAACAAACAATGATTCGCGTAATCGAAGATACTTTTGGCACAGCCATCAATCCCATGACTAAACAAACGGAGGAAATAAAACGCTTTACCATCACAAATGGTATGCAAATGAAAGTGCAGGTGAGTTGAGTTGAAGTTGCGAACGAAGAGTAGCTGCTGCTGATTATGCAGGTTTGCTTCATTGTTTCAGTTTTTGTCGGGGTGTAGGAGTAGGCGTGAACAATACTCGCCCCTTGGTTTGATAAAGTTAACGTGTTGAAGTTTTGTGTTAAAGTAAGGCGATTATTTTAGTATCAAAATGTGGCAAAGTGTTTTTTTCTAAGTGTTTTGTTTTTATTTACTTTTCTGCTGTCGTTTATAAACACGCCGAGAATTGCTGAAGTGACGATTGCATTAATGGGTTGCCATGTGTGGGGAATTTTGATTCCATTGCTAATTGCCAGAAGTAGCACACATTGATATAAAAAAAAAAATTTCTCCCGATTTTCGATTTCAAAAAATTAATTCAAAACAAAAATAAGATTTAATACAGTAGAAAGCTATGTTGCAAGGGTATTATAGCTTTGCGTGGGCCCAAGAGTTTGTAACGCCGCAAAATATTGGTCTTAGACCTACTTTTGGTATACCGATCGTCACATATCGACAAGCTGAGTCGATCTAGACATGTGTGTTTGTCCGTCTGTTCATGATAATATGTGAACACGATAAAGAACACAGTTATGGACCATGAAATTTTTCATGTAGGGTCGGTTCTGGTCAATGATGACTCCTATTTTTTTGGTAATGGTCTGTTAACATTTGGGGATGAAATAAACCACAAACTCCATTCTTATATGTTTTTCTGGTCGAACAAAATTATGACCCGAACATCAGGAAATTTTACACAGAGAAAAGAGTTCGACCATAGAATAAGCATAACTGTTTTGATGAAGATCGTCCAATATTTAGCGGTCAAGTGGACCCACTCTTTTGTGTGTTCGACCATAGAATAAGCATAACTGTTTTGATGAAGATCGTCCAATATTTAGCGGTCAAGTGGACCCACTCTTTTGTGTGAAAAATGACAAAATTGTTATTTTATTGGTCATGTATTAACTCCTGAAGGCCATAGACCCCAATAGTTGATATTATATCCAAGTAGAGTGTTTGTCCATTAAATTGATACCAATTTTATTGTTCCATTTAGTCAGATGTGGAAGATTTTCTTAATTACATACGGGTGTCCACGTATTCTGATATTTTTTATAAATTCTGAGCTGATGCCTAAAAAAAATTGCATGATGTTCCGGTTATGATGAAGGATGCCGGCAATTATTACAAATTGATCACTTCGGGAATGAAGTGGACAGAAAATTGGAAATATGCCTAGTTATCTAGTCGCACTAGACTCCACAACTTCTTCCATGGGAAAAGCGATCAGGACAATTAATCAATATTTAGCAGGTCAAATGGACCAACTTTTTTTGTTTAAATTTTACTCTGGGAAAACATGATTTGGAAAAGATGCCGCAGAGGAGCTGTTGACCTCTAATCGGTCAAGAGAATGCAATTATTTCCAAGATCCGCAGAAACTTAGAGTTCAATGGTAGTTGTATAGGGACTATACTACTCCGCTCACTGGTTTTATTTACGACGGACACGATAATTCCAAAACTAATAATCCAATCCGTTCTAAATTTGGATAGGATAAATTTTGGTTTTTGATAGAATATAAAGAATTTTCCAAAAATCTAATTTCATAGATCCGCCCTTTTGTTAATTTTTGTTTGATGTTAATAACACTGTGCGACACGAAAATTTTTCGAGGGTTCTGGTTCTGGACCACGAAAATACCTTTGTTTTTTCTGGGTCACTTCGAAAATTAATTTTATAACGGTAAATATAAAGAAAAACGTGGTTTCATGGATTTTCAATTTGAAACTCGAATAACTTATTTACTTTATAAGGGATTTATATTATTTTTCGAAGAGTACAATTTTTCCTTTCAAACAAGGTATTTATTTGGTAAATCGGTCGAGGATTGGCTGAGTTACAGCGGTTGAAATGTGAAAAAATACGCATAAAATGACAAAATTTATTTTTCTTCGGACTGTACGATGAAATTATGATATCAAGCCATATAAGTTTTATTATATTACGGGGAAGAAAATTAAATTAGCTTTCGAAAATGATAAAAATCAAAAAAATCGGTTAAAAAATGTATGACCATACGATACCCTACAAATCTGCCACGTAACTCTAACTTTATGCGGATTTTTATTACAAGCCAGGCAATATTTCGTGATAGTTCAAGCATCCTGCCCGTTTAGAGGCCAACAGCACCTCTTCTATACACTGACATATTTTCCGAATATTACTAATATTCAGTAAAGTCCTCCTAATTAGTTCTCCATATTCCCTTCACCGTGTGATGTGTGATGTTCGGCTTATAATTATGACCTATAGCTCGAAACAATCAGTTTTCGGTCCAATCCATTCCAAAATTATTGTCAGAAAATCACCGAAAATTATAGGTGTTGTCCTTGACCATAACTGGAACCTCATGGAACATTTCAAAGCGATCGGCGCTTTATCTTCGCCTTCCAGAATGGTTTACTAAATAATATCTGATTACGTAAGCATCTATAAATATTTAAGTGTAACTCTCACATCCGAGTACATATGACAATATAATTGGTATCAATATAAAGGCCAACCACTCCTCTTGGATATACTATCAACTTTTTGGATTCATGTCCTTCAGAAGTAAATATAAACGCTATAGAATACAAATTGTGTAATTTTTCACACAAAAGTCAGGGTCCATTTGACCCGCTAAATAATGGCCGATCTTTATCAAAACAGACATGCTTATTCCTTGGCTTCGTGTAAAAATTCGCGATGTTTGGGCCATAATTGCGGCCTCTGGAGTGACCAGAAAATCCGACAAAAATTGAGTATTTGGTACATTTCATCCTCTAAATATTTACCGATCTTTACCGAAAACAATAGGGCTCTTCATTGGGCAGAACCAATCGTATATGCAAAATTGTGCAGATTTGTCCATAACTGTGGCCTGTATCGTGTTTACATATTATAATGGACAGACGGACGGACGGAGACACATGTCTAGATCGACTCAGCTAGTCGAGATATGATATGATCGGTATACTTAAAGGTGGGTCTAGGACCAATATTTCGCGGCGTTACAAACTCTTGGGGATGCACAAAGCTACAATACCCTGACAACATAGTTGTGTAGGGTGTAGAAACTTTTTATTTAGGAACTCAAATGTAAAGCGACGAGCGCTAGTCGAGATATGATATGATCGGTATACTTAAAGGTGGGTCTAGGACCAATATTTCGCGGCGTTACAAACTCTTGGGGATGCACAAAGCTACAATACCCTGACAACATAGTTGTGTAGGGTGTAGAAACTTTTTATTTAGGAACTCAAATGTAAAGCGACATTTTCGAAGGTATATTGATTTTTTTGTTAGGTAACCCATAGTGAAATGTAATGGAGAATATTTTTTTCTCATTGATACCACCCGCCGAAAATTAAGCTTTTGGGGGTAAATTTGAACAATATAGCAAAAAAACGGTAAAAAAATAAAGGTTCTCTATATATAAACTCAAATTATAAACGATATTTTAGAGCTATATAGTTACTAAATATTTTTTTATTTTGTGACCCATAAAAAAATAAAATAAAATTTTATTTTAGAACCAATACTTTTTAAATATTTTATATTTACCGATATCTTCTAGTCGGAGTATATATTTATGGATATCCATTGATATCAACTTGTTAAATACTCCATTGATATCACCCTTTTAAACAACACAACCCTCTCGTTTATGTTTTTCATTTATTTTTTAAAAAAATCCGTTTTACTTTTCCCAATCTAATCTAATAACATGGCAACCCTATCTAAAAACTGCACTACAAATATTTCGCGTGCAATAAACAATTCGCATTGTTTTGCTTAATTGATACTCCCGCTCTCACAGTTTTGTGTTATGCCTGTACAGTAGTGAACTCATTGTTGTTGTTTTTATTTTAATGTACATTCTTTTGTCATTGAATAGGAACGACGATTCAAAATCACAAGTTTTTTTAAGATTTTATAATAGTCAAATAATAATTCGAATTTGTTATCAGTATGAACAATATCAATCATTTGATATGTGTACTTCAATTTCAAAAACATTTGCAAGTGCAAGTGTTTAACAAACATTTGGCTAAGCAATGCCATAATTCAATAAAACGTAAAATTGCTTTAATTTTGGCGTGTCGATAATAGACATTTGTTGTATTTTGACAAAATATTTGCATTCATGGATCTCTATGTGTCTGCCGAGGAAATTTCAGTTCTTTAAAAATTTCAATTGGTGTATGGTATCTCCCATCTATCGAACACTTCCTCCAAAACTCGACATTTTTATTGAATAAGAAAAAAAGTTGTTGTTTATTTTTTGTTGACCAAAAATCTCCATAAAGGCTATAAATTTTATGACAGGTGGATGACAAACAACAACAAAAATCTTTAGTTTTACATTCGCAAATATTCTTATCTACAGCTTCTTTTATATACTACTGTGGCGATATAACTTGTTTATCCAGGCAATGAATTAAAGCCTTCGATGTCCATTCACCACCAGCTATTTGTTTTTATCGAAATTTTACCCAAAGGACCACTTTGATGAAAGTCGAGACAATATTGTTTTTACTTTTCGCCATTTTTTGCCATCCTCTATTTGGCTAGCAAAGATAACAAGGAAAACTTCCAGGCCATAAATATATTCAATACCGAGTAAAAAAAAGTAATGTAAAGGCGAAGAAGAAAATCAAACTTAAAAACTTTATGCCATATCTGTTACAGTATTTGTTTTGGATAATGCCCCGGAATTGTAATATGTTCAAGAATATGCCACATAGCTATTGTAGCCATTGAAGAGTTACTGTAGAAGAAATGTCCAGACTGTTGAGTCATAAAAAAACTTGCAGATTGCTGTGAAACTTTCTTAATTCTCACTTTGTTTTTTTCTTTTTCTCGTTTTTCATACTTTTTACAACCTTGCCAATTTTTGCATGAATCTAACTATGGAACCAAATGACGACGACAACAACAACGAAATCAATATTCGAACATGAACACCTTGGGCAATGGACACAAACATACTTTAAACATTTTCTTGGATTGTGTCTAAAAATCTCTCTGTGCCCCACCGAACTGAATGATGATAATGAAAATGCTGGCAATGATGATGACGATGTCTTTCCCTGCTGACGACGACGATGATGATGTTGATTGTCGGACTGCCATTGTCTTCTATATGGACTACTTCTTGGGCAATTCAATTAAAATACATCAACTTTTTCTTCGTGAAACAACACAAACAACAACGAAACAACTTTTCACTTTGTAACTCTGTTGCAAATACTCACTTGCCTTCCATTCACTTGTCTTGTGTTCCTGTGTTTTCAAATCACAAAAGGTTATCACTTTGGGTGCTACCATAACCAGCATTGAAGTACCGGATGCAAATGGCAAAGTGGAGGATGTGGTGCTGGGTTATGATGATGTTGCAGGTGAGTACGATGGAAATCTGAAAATTAAGAATATCGGAATCATAATAAAGTCAATTGAAATTATTTTTGAGAGATTTTTGGACGGTTTGAATTAAAAAAATATGAGACATGTTTTCATAGGCGTGTATTTAAAAAAAAATATGTTTGAGCAAGTTTTCATAGGCGTGGATTTAAAAAAAATATTGAGATACTCAAAAAAATTTTTTTGAAAGGCGTGGATTTTTTTAAACACATTTTTGAGATACTACAAAAATGTTTTTTGAAATGCGTGAATTTTAAAAAAATTAGATACTCAAAAAAAAGTTTTTTTGAAAGGAGTGGATTTGTTAAAAACATTTTTAAAGGAGTGAACTTCTTAAAACATTTTGTTTTTTAAAGGCATGGATTTCCTTTTTAATGATGCGGATTAATTGAAAGAGTTGATTTAAAAAAAATATTTTTTTTTTTTGAGAGTAATGGATATAAACAAAAATATTTTTGAGAAGCGCAGATTTAAAAAAATAGTTTTTGAGAAGCGTAGATTTAAAAAAAAATAATTTTTGAGAAGCGTAGATTAAAAAAATTTTGAGAGGCGTTGATATTTAAAAAAATATATAATATTATTTTAATTTTTTTTCGAAAAGCGTATATTTGTTATACCCTACACAACTATGTCAAGGTATTATAGCTTTTTGCAGCCCCAAAAGTTTGTAACACCGCGAAATATTGGTCCTTTAAGTATACAGATCGTCATATTTCGACTAGCTGAGTCGATCTAGACATGTGTGTCTGTCCATTATAATTTGTAAGCACGATACAGGCCACAGTTATGGACCAATCTTCACGAAATTTTTCATGTAGGATGGGTTCTGGCCAATGAAGACCCGTATTGTTTATGGTAAAGATCAACTATATAATTTGTGTCGGTTTTTCTGGTCGCTCCAGAAGTCGCAATTTGGCCGGAACATCGCGAAATTTTACATGGAGAATGATTTGATTTGTGTGAAAAATGACAACATTTGTATTCTATGGCGTATATATTTACTCGTAAAGGGCATAGACCCGAGAAGGTGATAATATAAATAATAATAAAGAAGGTGGTTTTAAAATAATTTTTAGGCATGAAAATAATTTTATGCATGCCCGTCCGTCTGTCCATGTTAAATTGTAAACAAAGTACAAGTCGCATTTATGATCCGATTTGAATGAAATTTGGCACAGCTCATTTATTTGGCCTAAGGACGAACCCCATTGAAATTGGGAAAAATCGATTGAGATTTAGATATAGCTTCCATATATATTTTCGTCCGATTTTATGCAAATGGTACACCAAAGTCACTATATATCTCTCGATTTGCACGAAATTTGACATAGCGTACTGAACTAAGTCAATAATGATGTGTGTTAAGTTTCATGAAAATCGGTGAAGATTTCGATATAGCTCCCATATATAGTTTCGTCCGATTTAATGGAAATGGTGCACCAAAGTCCCTATATATCTTTCGATTTGCACGAAATTTGGCATAGCGTACTGAATTACGTCAAGAATGATGTGTGCTAAGTTTCGTGAAAATCGGTTCAGATTTAGATATAGCTCCCATATATAGTTTTCTCCGATTCTATGTAAATGGTGCACCAATGTTTCTATATACCTTTCGATTTGCATGAAATTTAGCACAGCGTAATGACTTAAGTCTAGAATGATGTGTGCTAAGTTTCGTGAAAATCTGTACAGATTTGGATATAGCTCCCATATATATTTTCGTTCGACTTAAGGCAAATGGGGCACCAAAGTCCCTATATATCTTTCGATTTGCCCGAAATGTGGCATAAAGTACTGAATTATTTCAAGAATGATGTGTGTTATGTGTCGTGAAAATCGGTTCAGATTGAAATAAATTGAAATTATGAATATAAATTGTTTACATTTTAGGGGATTGACACGAAATTTTACACAACATATTAAATTGAGACTAGAATGACGTTATTGCGTTTTCTTTAAATTGGTGCAGATACATACATAGCTTCCAGATATATTTGAAATGGGTGTCTGATTGAGAATACCGAATAGCGTGTATCAAGTTTGCTTTAAATTTTACATAAATTTACATAAATTTGCCCTATTGTACGGAAACGACTATATTGCCACTGTCATGTGTATGGATTGATGTTGGTCGGTTCACTTATAGATAAAGATCAATATTCATGTCAATGTTCCTTCTAAAAGGCGACGTCTATTAGGATACATATGTTGAATATACCCAAAGTAGTGGAGGATATCATATAGTCAGCCCAGTCCGACTTTACTACTTTCATTACTGGTTTAAAATATATTTTTACAAAGGCAAGGATTATTTTAAAAAGATATTTTTAGAAATGCTTGGAGAGGGATCCCTTAAGACGTACTATTATTATTTTTTAATCTAAACTCTTGAGAAATGTTTAGACTAATATGCGGGGATTGCAGAAAATTGGGTGTTTTGGACCACCTCTTAATTTTTAGTATTTTTTTATATTCAGGTTGTAGGTATATCATAACATCGTTTCTAATCGATGTAGGCTGTAATTCGGTCCTGGAGGGTTAAAAAGGTCTTGTGATATAATTTACTATATAGAACCAAGTTTTGGCATAGCCCTCTCTCCCCATTGTCGGTATTGCGGGTTCCTAGGGGTGAAAAACATATGTACAGAACAATTTCGATGTTTCGACACAACATCCATATAACTGTATCTTTTCGGTCCTGTGAAGACCTAAGACGTATGATCTTCCATCCGGCTGTAGTCTACATTTCTAGTTGGTGAAGGGTCAACGTATTGTAGCCAACATTTTTCGATACAAATCCATGTTTTGACTTAACCCCTATATAAAGTTTAAACCTCATTCTTTGAAGTTTCAACGTTTCATCCGATTTTTTTTTTTTTTTTTTTTTGCATAGATCTTCTCATGCCTTTTTCTGTTATGTTAAAGAACCTACGAAATTTGGTTATTCCACATTCCTTTTATCCTTTACCCCACTAATGCGAACAATTTTCCAACCCACCAAAAAAGAAATGCCTATCATTCGGCTAAAATTAAATCCACTATGTCATTGCAAAAGTGCAGTACCATCCCGAATTGTCAACTTACACTTGCCTCAGCACTTCCGTTGGTATTTCGGCAATTTTTCTTTTAATAACGCGAACGCAGGATACACATTTTTTTCTGTGCAAATTTCTTCTGGTCATCTACATTAAAGGTTTAGCCAGCCAGAATCTATGACCAGAAAAATGAGAGAATAGCGAAAAACAGGGTAGAAGGGGTTAAAGACAAAAGTTTTATGACTTTGACGTTTTTAGACGCTTAGTCACGAAATATGCTGTGTAAAGAATGATGATAGTTATTTCTTGTCTTTCTTTTGGGCACCATTTTTCTTTGTTTCTCTTTATTGCACCAGAGTTTTTTTGATGTGTGTTTTTGTGGCGATTTTTGTTTTTCTTGTTTTTTGATGAACACTCATATTTTTTTTGCTGTTTTTTTGGTTTAACGTAGCACCAGCACCACTATCCGCTGATGGAGTAATAGTTTGGCCAACTATGGCAATAGCATTCTATTTTATGACCTCAAGTTTCTTTTTTTTGGTTCCCGATTTGATGGAAGGAGTTTTATGACTTTGCTGGTGGTTAGCAGGACATACGAAAAACTCTTTTTTTCTATGTCGTTTGTTCTGTTTTGATGGATATTGAGGAGTTATTTCATGTCTTGCCATTGTGGAGACAAATTTAATCTAGAAACCAATGGAAAACAAAACAGTACCGAACTGAAAAGGATCCCCAAAGGATGGGTGTGCGATTAAATGATGACATGTAACTTTGTGGTTGTGGTTGACATTGATTTACATAAACGTGTTTATTTGTATATAAGATAAACGGGGGAGAACTTATAGCCTTTCAATATAAGTTGCAAATAACTCGAAATATAGGAAAGAATGTTTTGGAATAATACCTAGCTGTGATATTAGGAAAATGTCAATCTGAATGATATAAGGATGAAATACCCCAAATGATGCGAAGGTGTCATATTATAATGTGTTTATTTAGGACGGAAAAAGATAAACATGATAGCTTGACCCTAAATAAACTATGGCAGTAATGGATCTACTAAAAAAAAACTTTGGAATTGATAATTTTCTACCATGAAAAAGTTATTGGGCATGGATTTTATAAGATAGTTGACATTTCGAAATAATATGGAATTAATGTATATTGTAAGATATCTCCACATTTCCATGTTACTGAATCGCGAATACCATGATTTTAGGATTCATCTTATGAAATTCTGACTTCCCCACAAAATAAGAACATTGAACGTTAACGAATTTATAACCGGTGTTTAATAACCCAGAGATCCCACTTTTTGTACATATTTACAGCAGTGTGCTTATGAAATAAATATCATATATAAGGGTTTCGGGGATGCTGATTACAAGAAAAAAGCAAAAATTCAATAGAATGGATCGAAAAAGAGGCAAATGTGGTATACCCATTTGTTTTTAAATTCAAATTTTTATTTTTATTTTTTATCCGATTAAATTGAAATTTTACATTTAACATGCTACATGTGTTGTCATTCCATGTATCAATTTGAAAATAATATTATTCTAACAATTTAAGAGATATTTGAGAAAATATTTGAAATTCCATTAAAAGTGATTTAAAAAATGTGCAGGTAATGTGGTATACCATATGATGTTAATGTGGTATAGTATAATTTTCACTTCCAATTGATATCTTATATAATTTATTGTTTTTAATGAGTGCGAATTAGCTCGATATTTATGTCTGTTAAGATTTTTAAAGGATACGTTGAGTGGAACTTTAATTATGCCCTTCACCACACTGTGGTACAGGGTATTATGTCTTTGTGCATATGTTTGTAACAGGCAAAATAATCGAGATAGACCCATGGTTCCTTTTGAGAATATGCATAGAATCACTTTCTGAGTCGATTTATGCATGTCCGTCTGTCCACCCGTCCGTCCGTCCATGTATTTTTGTGAACAAAGTACAGGTCGCATTTATGATCCGATCTGGATGAAATTTGGCACATGTGACTTATTTGGCCCAAGGACGAACCCTA